GAAGCCCCCACCCCCAAGGTGTCTTGGACACAGGGCACTGCTTGGCCTGCTTCCTCCAAAGTCACTGCCACTAAAAATAGGAGACTCGCTGGAATTGCTCAAGGAGGCCACGCGGTCCCCTGGCTCTTGGAATTCTTAGACAACGGCAATCGCAGAATCACCAAATCTGGGACGCCCAGAATCTTGGGAGCTTGGGGTCCTAGAACCTCAGAGGCAGGATGCCCAGGACCCTCAGACCCAAACCTCTAGGTCGTGCTAGGGCAGGTTATATGCGAACCGGTTGCCCTCTCCTGAGAAAAGACAAATCTATGACTCATGTGTTCTCTAGAGACCCTGTTTCTTGGGGACCTCACTCCCTTGGCTGGGCCAGGCCTTTCTTTCCCAACTCTGAACGCCCTCTCCAACACCCCCATCCTAAAACCAGCCCTTGCACCCCGGCATAGCTCTGCTGCCCATCAGTGTATCCTGGTGGTTCTCAAATGGGGGTGATTCACCTCCCCCTCCAGGGGACGCTTTGGTAATGTTTGGTGACACTTTTGGTTGTCATGACCGAGGGCTGGGGAGATGCTGGTGTCTGGAGGGTGGAGGCCAGGGATGCTGCTCACCATCCTGCAATGCACAGGGTGGACCTCACCTCATAAAATGATCTGGCCCCAAATGCCAATAGTGCTGATGTTGAGAAACCTTGCGCTGTATGTAGATGATGCAAATTTCCGTACCCCCACCACCCCTTCCAGAGGTCACACAACAATCACAACCCTTTTCTTGGGTTCCGAAGCAGGACCCTCAGCCAGTGACCACACCTTTCTGGTCAACACCCTCTCCCCATCCTACCTCCATTTTTATCCCTTGACTCCCAACAGTCAGCTCTCAATTTCTTGGGCCAATTGGATGATGAGGGATTGGAAAAAGAATTCACCCCAGCCCTATCCCTTTTTCTGGACCATCCTCAAATTGAGGCTAATCCAACAATTGCATCTGTCGGGCTCTGGATGGGGCACAAGTTCCCCCAGTGTGTTAACCTTGGCCCGGGCAATTGGCCTGCTCCCCGATTGGCAAGCTCACCCGCGTCAGGCAAGTGTGGCGGGCAGAGGAGACGCAGGCCAGGATTCCTGTGGTCGCTCCAGGCATTGGCTCCACAGGCGGATAATAGAGAGTTGGCTCCATCTGTGTTGGTGGGGAGGGGGTCCCGGGAGAGGACTGAATTTCAGGACATAGGCCTGGGAGAGGGTGCAGAAGGCAGGGACGGGCTCTCTGCGGCTCAGGTTAGAACAGGTGCCTTGTTCATCATCTGGCAAGGATTTGTTGAGCGCTTGCTGTATGCCAGGTGCTGGGATGCTACAGTGAATGAAGCCGACAAAGTCCCTGGTCTACTGCAACTACATCCTAGTGGGGGACCCAGCAAGCAGTCATCCCAAGAAAGAGCTAGGTGATTTCAGAAAGTGCTAAGAAAGAAATGAAACAGGTGCTGAGAGAGAAAATCACAGGGGCTCATTTGAGTTAGGCGGTTAGGGATGAGTGCCCTGGGCAGAGGGCATAGCAGGTGCAAAAGCCCTGAGGTCCAAAAGAGTTAGGTGGGCTTGGGGCTTCCCAAGGAGGCCCATACAGTCAGAGTAGAGGCATTGAGGGGCCAGGAGAGAGACGGGAGGTTAGAGAGACCAGCAGAGGTCTGACCTCATAGGGCCTTGTAGGTGGCGGCTAAGAGTCTGGTTTTTAGGCCGGGCACAGTGGCTCACACCTGTATTCTTAGCACTTTGGGAGGCCAAGGTGGGTGGATTGCTTGAGGTCAAGAGTTTGAGACCAGCCTGGTCAACATGGCGAAATGCCCTCGCTACTAAAAATAGAAAAATTACCCAGGCATGGTGGTGCACGCCTGTAATTCCAGCTACTCGGGAGGCTGAGGCAGGAGAATCGCTAGAACCCGGGAGGCGGAAGTTTCAGTGAGCCGAGATCGCGCCACTGCACTCCAGCCTGGGCAACAGAGTGAGACTCCATCTCAAAAAACAGAAGTCTGGTGTTTATTATAGGTATAATGAGAAGCCAGGTGAGTTTTTAGCAGGGTGAGTCTTGTAAAAAACCACCCTGGTTGCTGGGTGGGGGGAAAAAGAGGAGGGTTGGAAGGCAGCAAGCCCCTGGGGTCCCCCAGGAGAGTCAAGGGGACTCCTCCAAAGAAACCCCTTCCAGGGCTCAGGACTGCAGAGGCCACAGGCCTCTCAGGGAGAGGAATTGGGAGCCAGCAGAGCCCTTCCGAGGCACCTGGCAGGGCTCCTGGAGCTGGGGTGTGGAGGGCCCCGGCCAGGGGGACCCCAGCCCCTCAGGGTCTCCCCTCTCTGTTGCAGACGGGCAGCCCCATCCCGGCCTCAGCGAAGCCCTCCCCCGTGCCACCTCCGCCACCCATCGGATCAGCAGCTGGTGAGTGCCATGCTGGCCCTGACCTCAGGGAGGGCAGGGGGGCAAGCAGGACATGCCCAGGCCCCAGAGAAGCCCCTGGGGAATGAGAAGGGGACAGGAGGGAATCAGGAGGCCAGGCAGGAGGAGGAGGCAGCTCCCGGCAGGCAAGCCCCTGGGCGTGTGCTGGGGTTGGGGGAGGTCTGGGATTGAACACAGAAGGTCAACTCTCATTATCCCTGCCAGGAGCAGGGCCACAGGCACAGGAGCCTGGAAGTTGGACCCTTGGAGTCCTGTCTCTGCCAGGTGACCCTTAGAATGATACTATGCCTCTCTGGGCCTCAGTTTTCTCATCTGCAAAATGGAGACCATAAGATGCATCTCATGAATTCGCCTTGAGGATCCAAGGGGCACTGGGTGAGAGCAGGAATCAAGAGCAATGCTGACGGTCCCTACCCTTTATTAAATGGCTTGGCAGCTGCTAATAGGTCATAGTAATTTTTTTTTTTTTTTTTTTTTTTTTTTGCTCTATTGACTCTCGCTCTGTCGCCCAGGCTGGAGTGCAGTGGCCGGATCTCAGGGATTATTTGTGTTAGTGGCATGCAAAGTAAGCCATGCTGTCCCTAAACCAACCATCAAGGGAAAGAAATTTTTTTTTTTTTTTTGAGACTGA